AAAAAACGGAGGTAAAAAAAAAAAACGGTAACCTGGTTGCCGAGTTCACGAAGTGAATTGGCTTGTTTTTCAACGTCTTTGCCAAGCGACGAAAACCCAATCCCGATGGCAAACACCGGGGGGGGCGGCTTGTTTTTCAACGTCGTTGCCAAGCGACGAAAACCCAACCCCGATGGCAAACACCGGGGGGGGCGGGGGGTGGGTTAAGACAACAAGAATTGTCGAGGGCAGCGCAAGGTGGTGATATTTTCGCGCGGTCGAGGCCAAGGTGTAAGCCGTTCGGCAGTGTGTTCCCACCGGTGCAACCTATGCGCTTTCTCTCACCCCTTTCGTTTTTCGCTGTCGAAGCAGCGGGCGCTGTCTGTGAATTGTGTGTCTGAATAAGGAAGGCGTTTTCTTTGAGCTTTCACAAAAATGTGGCGTTCTGCAGCAGCGGAGGTGGCGGTGCTGCTGCAGCTCGTAGACTTTGTAGTCTACCACAGAGGTTACACTGCTGTGAGAGCGGTAGGCCCGAGCGAGCTTCGGAAAGAGAAATGTAGATAAAATAGATGTTCTTATCAACTGACTCCCTTGTCAGGCTTTGATGGGTGCTAGATGAGAGTGAGAGGGGTGGTGAGCTTAGGGCTGCACCACTCTCGTCGAATACCGGACAAATAAGCCAATCACACAAAAGATCTAGAATGCTTCCAGAATGCTTCTGGAAGTCCTTCTACGTCCTAGAAAAGTATCAAGTGCAACCTAGGTCTAGAACGCTTCCAGAAGGTTCCAGAAGGCTTCCAGAAGTTTTATGCGTTCTACGTAAATGTCCCGATCGACCTTGACCTAGCATGCTTCCGGAATATTTCTAGAACAACAGAATACATGCTACAGTCTCGCCTGCCAGATTATCTCCGCTACAACTCTGTGCTCATGTTCTCTGCTAAGTGCCATCTCTTCTTTCTGTATTACGTCTACGGAAGGCTAGTTGCCGCAGTCGCACCTATGGTAAACTGTGCCTGACTACGTTGTAACAGTTTTCCTCGACAAGCTTCTGATCTGGCTGCTGATCGGCAGCTGTCGTCTTTTGCTTGCTTCGCCAAACCCTCTTGTTTGGCAGGAACGAAAGATGACCGTTCGCGACAAAGACCAAAGCATCGCCCCGACGTCCTTCCTCTGGAACGCTTACTTTCCTAAGTGCTACTACTACGAGGTAACTTCACGGGATCCCCAACTTCCAATTGTCGCCAAGCCTCACACCATCGCCGAAACAGATGTTTCTGCCTCACTTGGCGAAGTGGAATCACTGAACCATTGGATTTCTTGCCGGGTCACCTGCGCGCTCGTGAGGGCAATAGAGTGCGACAGTCCTGTGTTCTACGTCTCGTTTTCGGCCAGATAAGGACGTCTTCGGTTCGTTGCGTCGCTTCCTGGTTGTAGAATTCGTTTGAAATTTCCGGTTTACATGCGTCACGGTTTTCCGCTCGGGTGGCACCTCGAACTGAAAAGCAGGGCGCGATGGCCTTGATGATGAACCCCTGTTCCCAACGGTCGGGGGGTAACGCTATCTTTCTCCCGCGTTTATTTACCCGGGTGCCCACGGAACTGGAGAACAGGTTTTCGAGTGCATCAGGCGTTTGCTGCTGACCGGAATCTTGGTGTTTCTTGTGCCAGATACCCCTGGACAAGTCGCCTTCAGCTGCATCTTTGCCATTCTCAGGTAGGCATGGGTTTGCAGAGCGTGTTCGCGAGGGTGTTGTTTTCACGAGAATACCGTTGATACTTCATCTCTCTCCCCCAGGCATTCGTGCTGTCTTATTCGGAAGGACACCTTTTGTGCCCCTGCCGCGAGGATGTGGTGGGCTGTCGGGATGGCAGTTAGGCTGAACGAAAGTGCGTTTGTACTGTATGATAGAGGCATGGAGGCCATGTCATGCGCACCCTGCACGGTGTCTGTTTACATTGCGTTCGATGGGTCCGGTTCCGGTTGATTGAGGAGGGGTGGGTGGAAGTGACTTTGGTGGTATATCTGGAGGGATCTGTGCAGACACTGGTTTTAGGGATGGGATGGTACGCCGCAAAAACCGAGATTCCCGAAGGGTCGACATACCTGCCTGCTGTGAAGCGAGTTTTGCTGTTTCTTTCGCCTAGCCCGGCGACGAAGAAACGACGATGAAAAACTTGAGGGCAGAAAAACACAGCGTAATTGAGACCAAACAATCCTATTCCCTCTCACATTGTTCGAGACACGCGTTTTTTGTACAGAAAACTCGAGCAAAAGTATAGGCGCCGTCTTTTGTTGTCTGAATGGAAGCCCAATTGTCGTTCCACCCCCGCCCTGTTGTGATTCCGCCCCCGAACACGCTCGATTGTTGACATCGTCCACATCGCGACAGCCTCATGGTGTTCGAGCTTCTACGGCCTCACGTCAATCATATTGACAGGCAGCTCTACCGAACGGTGAGTCGACATCGAGTTGATGGCGTGCAACGCCTAGCACGCTTAATAGTGCGCCTGGCGATTGTACACTACAAGACAAGACGAAGGACATGATCTTGGCCAAGACAAGACGAAGGACATGATCTTGGCCGTATATATACATATAACGTCTTGGTGCGGCAATGATAATACTATCACCTTCACCACCCCAGACCCCCGTCCCTCTCCTCTGGCACAAGGACAAGTACAATTCGAAGGCCAGTTTCATGTGCAGCCCCCACATACACGTTTTGACACGCCTATCCTCTCTCGGTCTGGCGCAAAATGGTTAACATCAGGGGTGCCTCGTCATCCTGTTCACCAATTTCTTGGCGCTGGTCATCAAGTCGGGCGCAGCAGACAAGGACTCAAGTGGCAGCGCCGCGTACTCTGTGGCACTGGTCATTGTCAACATTATGTTTTTCTTGTCCATCTGGTTCAACGCTTGTACCACGGCGAAGGCGATGTTCAGCAGGAGCCATGCACAGGTCAGTGCGCTACACCTGCATGGTTCACCTTCGTTGTGCCGTTCGTGTCCTGATTTGGGTCGTTGTGGTCAAACACACACACGCACATTATTATGCATGTGTCCGTTTTGTCTTACATTAGCAGAGAGATGACACCCCTCCTAGACCGCCTCCCAAAGCTCGATTGCTCCACAGCCAAAAGGGTGCGGAAAGAGCCCCGTACGTCAACGGAAAGCCCTCGGCAGCATGTTCCCAAAACCACAACTTTTGGGGTTGGCACAGGCTTGGTTATGGAGCAATCGAGCTTTGAAGATCGGATGCCGACCGCCGTAGTACCTTGGCAGCGTATACAGCAAGTATGTCTATCCTAGAATGAAGTGCTTTTCGGTGGAATCGTTGTTTGTCAAGTCGCCGCCTTTTTGAGGGGGCACAAGAACTCTATGCAGAGAATTTAGTGTGCCAATCCCCCTACCCACCGGCCGTTGCGTGTTCGCATCAAAGAGTGTCCTCTTCTGAACATTGTGCTTGCCGATTGGCTGTTGCTTCGCTAAGCAGGATATGCTTCTCGGGGTAGACATCGTTGACGAGAGCACGATCAACCAAGTGCTCGGCCCTGAGAAGAGGAAGACCAAAGAGCCGCACGGAACGGCCGGTGGAGACGCCAAGACCGAGGACAGGGAGGAACGCCCGTCTTGGGACGACGCCTCGACCTCGACGTTGCACTCGACGGCCGGGGGCAATGCCGGCGACAAGCGTCCTTTGCCGGTTTTGGCTGCTACCCCGTCGAGCTAGGGATTGGCCGTTGGAGGAAGCCTGCGGACCGCGTTGTCGAAGATGGCGGCTAGCCCGTCCGAAGTGTCCGCCTCTGAAGCACCACTTCGCCGCGGCTCGGTAGACGAGCGCCTTCCGACGGCATCTGTGGGGCTGGTGCCTCTTGAGCCGACCGCTGAAGGGGTGCCACCAATGGCGTCGTAGCCCGGGGGGCAGGCAAGAGCAACCGCAAACAATTCAAGTGCGAGACGTAACATGGGCGGAGGAAGGGTCGACATCAACATGATCTCCCATACGCCCAGATTCCAAGCGTTTTTTCTGTGTGCCGGCACATGGGAAAACGGTCCCAGAGTATGTTCTATGGCGTACTACACAACCCTGTTCATGTGTGTGTGTTTTTTTGTTTTACTCTGGCCTGGATGCACTTAGTATGCTAGTTATGCTTGATGACGTAGGCATTTCAATAGTTGACTTGGCGCCCAGCTGACCAGCGACAGAGTTCCAGTGACTGACTTTTGTTCGGCCCGATCTGTTCGTGAATTGTGGCTGTAGTATCGAATGTATGACGTGTATTGCGGTGTAGTAGGTGATACTTGGTATTGTAACGAAACGTAATACAAAGGTCAGTAGATTGCAGCGAATAGATTGCAGCGAATAGATTACAGCGAATAGAGTTATTGCTGAGGAAAAGCTGTAGCGAGAAGCCATGGGGAGCGCAGCCCACCGTGCTCACTCCACCTTGCCGACCTGTCTCTCCGGGCAAGTTCTCATTAATACACCACATATTTTTCCAGAAGTCACGAGTTTCCAACACGCTATAGCGACAAAAGTCAACTGCTCCAACGTCCCCCTGGGCGGCACGAGACTGTACGAGAGAGGCCTGATCAACCTATCTCATCATGGCTGGTGAAGAAGGAAAGTCTGCGGATGACCCACCTCAGACTGCTGTAAATCGTTCCTCTGCTGGTGCTGCAAGCTTTGGTTCGATTGGAATTGGAAGTGGGGCTTTAGGTAGCCAGTCTTTCGTTCCCGGGACTGAAGGTGGGGCTTTAGGTAGCCAATCCTCTGTGCCACCCGCACCTACTCCGTCGAGTAAGTGGTGGGAAAGTGTCGCCAGTGGAAACACATTGATTCCTGGGGCCGGCATTACACATTCAGGAGAGAAATTGGGTAGGGGTCCTTTTAAAGTCCCCAAGGCTCCTGTTTTCGATGGGACCGACGTGTCCTATCCCTCGTGGTCACAGAATTTTCTGCTGAGTGCCCGGCACGACAATCTGTATCAAGCGTTTGTTTCTGAGACTGAGATTCCAATTGCTGACATTGGTTTCGACTTGACCCCCTGGGGAGAGAAAGGATTCCGTGTGGGTGTGCTGCGTCAGGCTGAAATGGGATAGTGGTTTCTGTTTGATTGCTTGAAGAACGAAAGTCTGAAAACTATGGCTAGGCACGCTGGTTCCCACAGCAAGGCGTTCCGAGTGCTCAAAGATGGTATAGTGGTATTTAATGGGATGGGATGGGATGGAGTGGTAATGGTAGCCGAATTTGGGCCCCATCAGCAGATACCATTTAGTGACCACCACGCCATTCGGAGATACCATCAGTAAAAGGTAATGGTTTTTGAACCCTTCCCATCCCATCTTATTTACCATCATAGATGCTGAAGCTACCACCTTCCCATCGACAACAGGCTCCTCGCACCCATCCCTCCCCGATTCCCTGTACAAACACCAAACAGGCGCCTCGCACCCCCCCCCCACCCAAAATGGACGTACTTTTGAAGGAAGGGTGTGTGCGGGCAATAATGTGTGTCATGGGGGTAGGGGGTTGACCCGCACCCACCACCCTGAGTTCTTCAGGTTAAAAAACACACGAACACCAGCTGAAACACACCATAACACAACAGAACGTGCACATGAATACCCCTACCGCCGGCCGCATCTGAGTTTGCTAGCACGCGTGTACGCAGGCGTAGACACCACCAGTTGTCAAGCGGAGAGGAACTTTTCCGCCCTCATGCAGGTCCTAAGTGACATGCGTGCCGGTACCCTGCCTCGTAAGATCGAGCAGATGCTGTTGCTTAGGCTTAACAGGCACCTCATCCCAGGCTTTGCGAAAGTAGAGCGAGAGCTGGCCGCATTGAAGGGAAGGCACGACGCAAACGCAAAGGCGGTGGTTGCCGTCCAGCAAGCCAGGGAAGGCAGTGCTGTCACCCTGAACTAGGGTTGCTGGTCTTCGTTTTTTTTGTTTGCTGTGTTAGGTTGCGTATCATATGTATGTGTTTGGAACCTTGGCTGGGTTAATTGTTGGTGCATTCAAAACTCGAGTTCTAAATACTCCAGTGAAATACTCTATGCAACTAACACACATTTTGCTGTTTTCAGTTTAGCTGCTTGTTCTAGCCCTAGCTAGACAGGCGGAGTTGTCTCTTTGTGTGGAGTTTATCTGACAGCGGGGGGTACTGGAAACCACAAACACCAGGGCACCTCTGTGTAGGCAGAGTTCATGTGTCCCCGTGTTGTCGCCACCACGGCACGGCATTAGCTCTCCCATCCCATCACTCTGTCCCACCAGTTACCATCCCATCCCATCCCATCCCCATCCCATCCCATCCCATCAGCATCCTGTTCTCATCCCATCCCATCCCATTAGCATCCTGCTCTTATACCATCCCATCCCATCACGTCATGTATAATTCCAATCCCATCCCATCGTATTACCATCAGAATGGGCGCAAATACCATCCCATTTGGCCTGATGGGAACCCTAAAATTTTTTCCGCCTGCGGCGGGCTAAACACCCGATGGGATGGGAGGCCACGGGCGTTGCTGGGGGCCCAAAACGCAGAAAAGTCCGGCCAAAAATCAA